AATTTTTTCATATATGTCTGATCACCTACAAAAACATCAAAATTGTAATTATAATGTAAAAAATGTACAACAGAAATTAAAACCACGATTCAAAACTCTGAGGTCAGATTTAATTAATTTTGAAAAAGCTACCATCTTTTTTCCTATCCATCTACTTTTTCCTTCTAAAAAGAATTCATATGTAAAAAGGCATTGCTGCAAAAGAAAAGAACATGCTAGAAAATGCCTACATTTTTTGCAATAGGCTTATCATATAAAAGCCTACTGGACATTGGGATTAAATAAGGATGTTTTAAAAATAAAATGTATCACATTTTGCTTTATGTTTTTGTAAAATGTGTCACTATACAAAATGCATAGTTTGAGGTCCTGTCTTCTTGTATTCATATTTCATTTTGGGCAGAACAGTAAATTTGGTTTCACTTGCAGTTATATCTGTGGGGCATATTGATGGGCAGATTAACTGAATAGGTATATTAGTCAGTTTCATTCTCTGAAAAGACTGAAATGTAAACATATGCAGGTAGATCTAAAAGGGTTTTCAACCTGATCTGTTAAAAGAAATACAAAATTTTAGCACTTTATTTTTCAATATGATATTCTTTCATTTCGATACAGTTTTTACGTTGTTTAACGAGCAGTTCTTTACCCCTTAAAAAAGTAATCTAAAGGTTTGTCCTCAAAACATTCCATGATTGTTCTTTTCATATCATTTTTCCACAATGGTCATATTTTAGTTTAGCTAACAGCTAATAATCACTTGAAAGTACATCTGGGCTGTAAGGGAGACTCAAACTGCTCAAAACCACATTGCTTCTGAACAGTAATGATACATGACTAGTTTTCATTTGCTCAAAGAAGTCGAGACATCATTTTCATGACTTCGAACATGTGAAGTGTTCACACGGAATAAGCAGAACAGTTTTAGATAGACCCAATCTTGCTGCTATCTCACTGAGTTTTAACCTCATATCTTTCAATACTTCATTCAATACATGTACAGTATTTTTTGAAGTCAATGCTACCAATGACCGACCTTAAAAAAAATCATTTACAGATTCTTGACATACGTGAAACTGTTTTTTCCATGCTATATATATCACAGCACGAAGGAGATGAATCACTGAACACATGATCCAAACATTGTTTAATTTTTTTTTGTTTTATTTCTAACAAAAAATTTAATCACAGAGTACTATACAATTTTAAATGTTTTAAAACAAAATAGTGCATTACTTTCTTTTTCCAAATTGGCCAAAAATCTATAGGGGCATGCATTTACCTCTTTGCCTCAGGCACGGTTTTGCAAGTCAGAAATAGGAGATTTTTAGAAATATGTCAGCTGAAAAAGTTTCCCAATATCATCAAATGTAGAGACTCCATTTATTTTTGTTTTGGATTCACATATTTATATATGTTATGTCATTAGTTACACCTATGCACCACAGCACTCTAGAGGAATTTTTGTATTTACTTAGCAGAGAATAAAATTATATTCACTAGCAGAATACAATCCATAAAGAGTGGTCTGTCTTGGACGAAGATCAGTGCCCATTCAAAGGGGCAAAAATACAATGAATAAATTAACAGAACTAAATTGCCAAAGAAGCGTGATAAAAAGCAAAATTACAAAACTGGAGAAGTTCGTAAATAACTTTAAGGAATCCGAAGGAAGTTCAGTTGAATTAGAAGTAAAATTACAGAATGTTAATGAACTAAAGGTTGGCATGACTCACCTCTACAACTACTACTGCAGTGTTGATGATCACTATTCATTGAAACCACATTTTGGAAAAAAAAGGAACTAAAGGTTGGCATGACTCACCTCTACAACTACTACTGCAGTGTTGATGATCATTATTCATTGAAACCACATTTTGGAAAAAATAAAATTAAAAGGCATATTGGATTCTGGAAGCAGCTGCAAAATATTAATTACTGAAACCACTGATGGTCTGGAACTGAATAAGCAAAAAAATAAATACAACCATAAGGGGAATAAATAGAGGCAAATATTTTGTGAAAAACAAAACAGCCACAAAAATCTCAAATGAAGATGGTGATTGGTGTAGGACCTTAGCTTTTGTATTTTACCTCGCATTATGGGGCTTACAACTACAAATTAAATTGATATTTCTAAAATAGATTTCCCAAAGGAAACTAAACTAGCAGATCATAATACCTAACAAAATTCATAAATTACTGGGGTGTAAATTACTTTTTTAATAGTGAAAAGCAGAAAGATTTAGGTCCTTGATGGTTTACTGTTGTTACAAAATAGTATGTTTGGATATTTAGTGAAAGGTTCGATCAAAAATTCAAATCCTTATCTTTTTTCTGGGTTAACTTCACAAGATGATAATTTAGATAAGTCTGTCAAACAATTCTTCGAGTTAGAATCCTTTCCTGGTGATCACGCTTACAACTTTTGAAAAGCAATACTATGAGGAGCTGAAAATGGACAATGTATTGTAAGGTTACCAATAACTGAAGATTAACTGTCGACGTAGAGAGCATCGAAGGAAATAGCAGGAGAAAGGTGATTAAACTTACTTTGCAAAAAATTTGATAAAAATAAAACCATGGCAAAGTTATATAAGGCACTTATGGATGAATATCTGCTCCTTGATCATATGGAAAGAATAAGAGACAATGAGTAATCTAATATAGAATATTATATTCCCATTTTTAGTTCTGAGGGTACATCAACTCCCCTCTGCATCGTCTTCTAAATCAAGTAATGGGGTTTCGCTCAATTCGATATTGTTAAATGGAGGAAATGTACATGTTATTTTCTATCGTGGTCAGATTTTGCACTCACAGGTATGCATTTAGTGCAGACATCAAGAAAAATGTATCGTCAGATACTAGTGGATGGACCTGATAAGAGATTTACAAAGGATATTGTGCAAGACAAGTCTGTTTGCTCCCATGGAAACATATAGATTGAAAACAGTACTTATGGAACATCATGTGCTCCATTTTTAGCAACTAGAACACTGTGAGCATTAGCTGAAGATGAACAAGGGAAATTTCATCAGGCATATCAGGCAGATCTATGTTTTAGATCTGCCTTTGAAAACGGATAAACAAGAGCAACATGAAAATTTATAAATGATTTAAGTTTTTACATGTTATATCTGTAATTATTAATCTGTTATATTTATTAACATAATTTATTATTATTATTTTGTACATCTTTTAAAATGTTTTACATATTGCATTTAGCACTTTTATGAAAAGTGACAGACAGAACCTTTTTTGGGGGGGGGGTATAGGAGGCACCTTAAACTTTTGAATGTTCTGAAAAACATTTGTTTATTTATTTATTTAGTGCCTTGGAAGTGTATAGAAACGAAAAAAGATTTTGCATGAAAAGGTGTGGTGTCACTCATTGTCTGTAAATGTCAAAGAGTAGTAATACAGCTTTTTTTCATGAGTATTTTTATTTCCACTTCATTTGTTCTTTATTAAAAACTTGTTTTGCCATTTTGTTCAACGGAATTACCATACCGATTTTTATAATTTTTACTTTCAATATCAGATTATTTGCTCAATTTCTTTTGCCTGTTTAGTTGTAATTATTATTACTTTATACATATATATATAATAATTCTTATTCCTTTACTACTCAATGATATTCCCTTTTTTCCCCTTTATCTACAACAAAGTATTAAATTCTGGCTGTTCTGGAAATACTATGAATTTTATTCATTGTAACTATTTATATGTGTATAATTACCATCTCTCTCTCTCTCTCTCTCTATATATATATATATATATTGGTTTTGGATGTATTTTTCAATATTGCCTGAACAAAACATACTGTGTGGCAAGCAAAGACAGCATACATTTACTTGAACAGATCTTTGTATGTGTAGAAGTACAGCCACTGCCATGAACATTACAAAAATTTCCAAATGCCCAGATAGCAAAAAGATTCCACTGCTGCAAAATGAAGCAAAATGCAAATAACTATTAAACGTCTCAGTTTTCATAAAATCACTGTTGAATGTCAGAAGTGTGATCTCCAAATAAAAGAAATGAATCTGACGTAAAACTTCAAGGGTCCCCACTCTCAAAATTCTTAATTACAGCTCAAGATAAAATTTTTAAATCTTATTGATCACACATAATTAAATTCTCTCCAATTATATGTAATCATATGTAATTTCACAGTTTTTTATTCCTTAACTACCCTTCCCTTCTGGACAAAAATTCTTTGTTTATAATAGTACTAATGTCCAATGTGCATATAATTAAATTCTCTCCGATTTAAATCAAACATAATTTCAGAGTTTTTTTATTCTCTAATTACCCTCCCCTTCTGAAAAAATTTTTTTGCTAAATAGTATTAATGTACAACAAGCAATTTATTATAAAACCTTAATGATTGCAATAGAACTAATTTTTGCCACCAGTTACAATATTTCTGAAATGTTATGACATATGATAAATTAAAAGACAATTTTAAAAAAAATATGTGATCATTTATTCAATCTAAGTTTAATATTAGATAAATAAAAAAGTTAAATTTCATAAAGCAAGATGTTTAAAATAAGTCATAAAATACATTTTAAATGCCTTAATTTTAACTCAGCACATTTAAAAGCCCTTAATTTTAATCACTGCATTCATTAATTATTCTTAGATCCAGTTACATTCAACTTATTTTAAATGTGAACATACATAAATAATAATCATTTTTTAATGCTGCACATTTTCATATAGTATTCATGTACTAAACATATGAAAATCAATTCCACAGATTATGTATAAAAAATATTAAAAATAATAGCAGCTATTTAATTAATATTCATCTTGCTAAATCCTTGTTAAATAACTAAATAAGGATCATTCTAAATGCCTGAAAAATTATGTAAAATATACATTTTTAACACTTTAATTTCATTTTCTTTTCATGACATTTTTAACACTTTAATTTCATTTTCTTTTCATATAAATAAACTGTTCAATAAGATTAAAAGACACAATACAAGTGCTGTACCAATTGCATATATTTACTTGAAAAACATTTACAAAATGAAAGAAACCTATTAGAGGAAAGACATTCAAAAAATTATCACACAACTGAAAAACTGAAGAAACTTCTTTGGCTGCTAATATGAGGTATGGATTGTCTTTGCACCACAAAGTTAGAACTTATTTTTTAGTGTCTGAACAAAACAGATGTTGCATAATTTTCAAAACGCGCACACAGCGGACTTCTTCCAGAGTGCAATAATTGTAGAAGACAATGCGCATTAATTACTATAAAAAATAACTAATGTCAATTGGTACTATTTGCATATAAATTTCTGTTGTCACCTATCTGATAACTGTACAAGCATGGAAAAAGTCGACATCTGCATGCAAGATGAGGTCCCCCGGATGCTTCCCATCCAGGATAGTTTTCTTGCACATTCCTACCTCCAAACTTTGGAAGCCACTAGTGCACAAAACTGTAGTCTTTGGGTATGTTCAATGTGACACTTTCATGTATTCCAATCCAGAGAACTGGCCAATAATTTAAAAAAGCACCGAGGGAGACCATAGTGATCAAAGGTGCAAAGTAAATTGAGGCTGAAGGAGTGTTCCAAGGAGTGAAAGACAATCTGAAAAACACTCCCACTTTGAATGAAGGGGAAAATTAAACGGAAAAGGTGCTCCAAAGTTTAAATACTTGAAGCGTGAATAAAAATCACAGTTTCTCTGGTCAGTTCCAGGTCAATTTGCGGCAGGACAAATATGAGCAGTTGTTTGCAGCCTTTCGAGTTCGACTTTTCAGACCCTGAAAAGTATTCCAAAGTGATGTTAATTTCATAAGATGTAATATAAGGTATTTCACAATAGTACATGGTGTCATAAATTATTGAGCTCATTGGAATAACAAATAATGATCAACAGATGCTCATAATAATAAGCAACAAGATTTGACATAGCATGAGAAAATGTACAAGACTATATAAAATACAAAGGTTAAATAAAATCATCTTCAGATGCAGAAGTGCAAATGCTGATACAGAAACGTGCTTACGCACTAACCATAATTTAAGAATGTTTAGAGATCTGCCTGTTTAATTTAATACGGACATTTCTCTTGTCGTCACTTTCACACCTGCAACTGAAGAAGATTTTAATTAATTTCCATAATTACAGTTCTGTAAACTTTACTCATGTGATTCTAATTCTTGTAGTTCATTATTATGTATTCATCCTTCAGCATGACTTTTCTACAACACTGAAATGAAATCATATCCAGTTATATTCTATGTCAAATTATAGAGCAAGTCAAATAGTATTTTGATGAACATATAAAGCATGATGTATGCATCACTTCATTCTTCTTTATGCTTCACTGTTACTTTTATAGCATGGCCCACCAGCAGTCGAGCAGTAAAGTCGCTGAACATTGGTAGTTCGGTCCGAGGTTCGAATCCCGCGAACAGGCTGGCTGCATGGGCGTTTTTGTGGTTTTCCCCATGTGTGACCTGTATACGAGCCAGTTTCCCTTAGAAAGTCCTCCACGAAGGCATCCCTACCCCTTAGGCAGATAGCCCTAGTGTGCTTTGCCATAATTAAATACACCACACCACTTTTATAGCATGCATAATTCAGTAAGTATTTATTCTCTTGCCATGTATTTCTCAGGATTTTGAGATTTATTCTAACAATTTAGTTCTTTTGTAACTTTTTGGTAAAATTCAATGTCATTTAATTTAATAACATATACTTCTTTTTACAAATTTCACACAAAGAAATCAGGGAATGTTATGTCAGGAAGTCAAGCTGGACAGGACACCAAAACTTCACCAATGATTTCGCAAGTAGAGTCCCACCACACAGTCCCGGATCTAGTGTGTGTGTGTGTGTGGGGGGGGGAGCTGGGGTTCTTGCTCTGGGTGGCAACACTCGCAGGCGGCAAATTAAAATATAATGCTGGATCGTATTTGGTATGTTATTCGATAAAACAGCCCTCTAATTTTAGTATAATGTTAATAGTTTTAAGGCCGAGTTTAAAAACCCCTTTTAAGAAGATTTATAATTAAATACTAAGAACCTTTTTAAAGGAACATGAGTTAAAATAAAGTTAAGTATAGCCGATTACAAGTATAAAAATAAGATCAGAAAGACGCAAATAGAGAGACTCCATCACTAATAGAATCAGACTGACCCTATCAGTAACGTCTATGAAGTCCCTCTATCGTTTCCTGTCTGGCCGGGGTGTATTCAAATGAGAAATAGGACGATAGCTTGTTGAAGAAGTCGCCTGGTTTCCATAGCAATGTCTGCTGGGAAATGGAGAAGCATTGTAACTATTTTCTAAAATCTAATCCAAAAAAAATTAACCTTGAGCTATCCCCGATGTATGAAATAATTCAAATTAATATTCGCCGAGTATATACAAGACACAATCCTAATGTCTTCAAGATGAAGCAAGGCATTTTTCATTACAACCAGTCGGCAACATAGGTTCACCTTTGGTTTGACTCGGAACAGTGGAGCGTATTTTGGAATTTAGAGCTACATTTATTATTTTTATGGTTATTTTTTAGTTTTCAAGTCTCCTCTGTGTTTTTTTCCTTTTTTTTTTAATATGCTTGCTTTTAATAGCCCGCACTATATTTAGCGAGACGCAACCATTTTTATTTAGGACTGTTTAGTGTAATTAAGTCAATTAATTATTAGTTATTCTTATTAAGGCAATTCATAGTGAATTTCGTTTAGATTAAAAGAAACCATCTGCATGCTGAGGAGGAGAAAAGCAGAATATAGAAAACAAGCCAAAGATAAAGCCAAACAGAGAAAAAAAATTTCAGCTAAGATGAAACAATAACTTTACAGAAGAAGAAAACCATCAGACCCTGCCGCAATTCCAATTAATCTGAGATGGGTATTAATATTTCATGCAATTTGCACGACCAAACATGACTGCCTATATCATCCCCAAACAATCTACAAGTCAGCATATGGAAAGAACAACCTTCTTCATACATCAAACGAATAGCTGGAGGACATAAAATCATGATAATCATAAAGATCTCTTCATTTAGATGGGGGTGGGCAGCAGAAAGACGAAAAACTAAAACTTTTGATTCATTGGACCCATCCAGTTGGCTGGTCATAGAAAAAAAAAATCATCAACAATCTTTCTTAAACAGTCAATCAGTATTATTAGCTAATAAACATACAGAAAATGTAAACTTCAATCCCATTGAATGTGATGGCAGACATTTGACAAGTAATACAGAACATTAGTAAATAATACAGAGCTTAGGAGATCTTGGTTTACATATTCTAAAAACAAGAATGCAATTTTTTGTACACCCTGCAAGATTTATCAGAAACATGGTGATGCCGCTACACCATACTACAGGATTCATTAATTAGAAAAAAGTTTTAGGAAAATTAACTGAGCACAAAGTGTCTGGAATCCACAGAGGTGCATCATCAGATGGAAAATTCGAGTATAACAAATGAAATCATGCCAAGACTTCGATTACGATACTGAGCGACTCATTCACACAGAGAAAGAAAAATGGAGAGAAATTCTATATAGTCATGGATGTGGTACTGTATCTTTCAACAAACTGTCGTTCTTTTCTTGGGTCTGATGATATCCCAAGTAGCCTGTTCCCAAAGTTCTTCGGCCTAGCAAAGGAAATTTTCTGAATTTAATCTCTCCGCTTGACAAACATAATTCTACTCTTAAGTACCAGTCAAAGCAACAAATAAAGGCAAGGGAATCATATTTATCAAACATAATTAAAAATGAAGTTATTAACTTAAAGGCAAAACAGTCTGAAGGTAGCATTTTAAAGGATATTAAAGAAGCCAAATACTACACAATTATGCTCGATTGCACTCCATATGTGTCTCATACAGAAAAAAAATGAACCAGGTGATTCAATGCGTAAAAACGTGTGGTGATGTGTGTGAGATAAAGGAAAATTTAATTGATTTCAAGTTGATGGAAAGATAGAATGTATTTTTCAATGCATTGTAGAAAATTAGCGTCTTAATTGACACTTGATGGTTTAGATATTGGACAATGTCGGCACCATTCTTACAACAATGGGTCTAATATGGCTGGCATTTCTAAAACAGTACAAGACAGGATTAATAAATGAATAAGCTGGAGGAATTTGTGCCATGTTTGGATCACTCCTCGTATCTTGTCGGTGTGCATTCTGCTTCTTCGTGCCCGGAAGCAGTTAATCTGTTTGGAATTACTCAGTAAATACTTCGCTTTTTTGTCGGATGCACTACTTGATGGTATATTATGAAAAAATGTACAAAACACCTTAAAAGAAAGCAGCCAGACAAGATGGTCGGCAAAATATGTGGCTGTGAAAATCCTTCTAATGAATTTACCGGAATATTAAAATATTTAAAAGAAATTAAAAGTATTTCTCTTGATGTGGAATCAAAGCCCGAGGTAGGACATCTGGTACATGGTGTGAAAAATTTTGAATTTACTATCAACCTGAAAATTTGTGCTAATATTTTTCCAGAATTCAATCGAGTAAATATAGAAATTCAAAAAGAATTCCTCTTGCACGTTCTGCGTAAACGAAAGAACTGACTAAAACTGAGGAATTATAAAAAAATGAGAGAAAAAATCCTATGGAATATTGGATACAAGTGTCTAAAACAGTAGCTGAAAAAAATTGCAGTCGAGTCTATTCTAACGAAGAAAAAAATTCCACAGCACAAAAAGCAATGTGATGAACTGTTTGAGGACGAATCACGAACACTTCAACCTGTTCAAATCGAAGCTTCAGCAAATTAAAACATATTAAAAAATATCTACGATCATCGGTGAGCCAAGAGCGCTTATCTAGTCTCGTGATTCTGGCAACTGAAAATCAAACCGCAGATCAAATTATGACGATTCCATGCACTTATTTGCAGAACAAAAGGCTTACAGAGTAAAATTTAATTTTCGTTACTAATTCCGTGATATTTTAATAGCGTTAAGGCAGGTAAGAACTTAAAATTACTTATGAAATAGGAAGTAAGAAAAACAAGACAGGAAGCACGGATACTCTGAGTGATAGCCCATTTTCTGTATAATCTTTTCAGAATTTTTCATTTCCGCAATAGCCCATATTTTGTATGTAATGGCCCCTTAGTGGCTGAGCAATAAAAGCCGCTGAGCACTAGTAGTTCAGTCCGAAGGTCAAGTATATGTGAATGTGCTGGCTATGTGAGCATTTCCCTGATTTTCCCCGTGTGTAACATACACTAAGTGCTAGTTTCCCTTACAATTTTTTTTTTTTCACGAGGCATTCCTCCTTTTCCATGCAGTGCCTAATGGTGAAATACATAGTAAATAATCAGAGAAATGTCCTCAGCAGTGATCGAGTTATTAAGACCGCTGAATACTGGTAGTTCACCTTGCTTGGACTCAAACCCAGGCAAACGGTGCGGCTGCATGGTTTGTTTTCGTGGCTTTCCTCATGTGTAACGTGAATACGAGCCAGTTTCCTTTAAAAAGTTCCTCCACGAAAGCAACTCTCCTCTAAGCAGATAGACCTCCTGTCTTTGCCATATTCATATAATCTAACCTAACGTAATTTAACCAGTGTGCAATAACATAGTGAGGGCGGCAATTTTAGCTTTTGCCCCTCATCAGAAAAATCAAAGATCCGGCACTGCCACCACGCTTATTATATAGCTCCATTCCAATTTTGAAGAACAGCCTGAGGACAGATCCGAGGATCTACCAACCAAACCTCTCGAGAGGACTTTAAGTTTGTCAGTAATCTAACTGTCCTCATGCCATGCAGAGACTATACATTTAGAAACATGTAAGTCACCCCTGATTCAAACCTGGGCTCAACTACTGGCAGTCAGTATTGCTCACTGCTATACAGTCAGGATGGCAATTAAGCTAAACCAGTCTATTTCTGCACTGGGGATAAAAGATCAAGTTTATGCAAAGAAGTTTGGAGGCAAAAATGAATTTCTTGACAGCAAGATTTATGGAAGTTATGTCACTAATGCCAAGGAAAATACAGCAAAAAATTGAATACTGAATGAAATATGTGAAACACACACAAAAAAATTTTTGAAGCTCATATTGAAGCATTTTAAAATCTGTCACTTATAAGGTACATAATTTGATATGTGGCAGATTTCAACTGGATCAAAGTACATAGTTACTATCAAAGTATATAGTGTAACTTGAGTAATGAACTAACTATAATAATTTTCTTCGCATTTATGCCATATATAATTCAACAGCAAAATTACCAAAAGCATTATACATTTAGAATTCCTGATCGCTAAGTGTTAGCATATATTTTTCTTTTTCTCTCATCTTTTTTTCTCATTTCATCACATCAATGTTCTGTTTTCTTACTAACATGGCTTAGCAAAACTTAGTGTTTTTATTATTATTGTTTTGCATGTTTACTTTATTATATATCACATTCTTGGCACTTACAACACATAAAATTCGATTCAATAGTAAAATCAGAAAATATTTTAAAATGGCATATCTTAAGAGATGAAATAGATAATAGAGCAAACTTGAAATTCAAAATGCAAGCTCCTGGTTGCATGTTTGGGTGGAGAGCTACGCCATTCAAAATTTGATAGCTCTAGGTACCGTGTTTTTTTCTCCCGCAATGAGAGAAACATACATACATTCATGCAAATTCTTTATTATTTAATTTCTTTAAATATAATACATGCCAATAATGTTTGGCGGCAGCGATCTGAAAAGTGATATGCCATTTTTAGTGCTTTAAAAAGCAAACTGCCATTTCAAGACTACCATTTAGAGATTTAAACATTTATTTAGGACAAGCATGCCTGTTGCGCTTTTAAAAAAATAAATAAAAAATTTTTTTTTTAAAGTTTTGTGCATTACCTTTATTTACTAAATATCATGTTCTCGCACTTAAACCATAAAATTCAGTTCAACAGCAATATTGCAAAATAATTTTAAAATTAGCATAGCTTTAGAATTTTTGAAACTCAGTTTCACACAAAGGAGTACAGTGTTGCCATTGCTCACTTTGAAATCGTAGAGTTTGTTAATTAGAAATCCGTTAAAAGTTTTACAAAATATGAAATATATAATAAAGCAAATTCCGAATTTGGTCTTCCAGATGCCCATATTCAGGTGGAAACATTCAAGATTTGATGGCTCTATTCTTTATTATTTAATTTCATTAAATACAATATAGGGCTCTAATATTTGGTGGCACTGGGATATTTGAGAAGTGAGCCAACACAAAATTAATAGTCCTTCTGGGCAAATTGCACCTTTGGACTAAAAACATAAATGCTGTTATAATAAATAAACTTAAGTATTTGGTTTACGGTTAAAATTTACATAATAAACTGCTGCTGAAAACAAGCAGCACTTAGTGTAACAATTTATAAGTTACAAACTTACAGTGCTAAAAATGTGTTGTATACATATATATACATAAACCTAATCTATATATAAACCTGCTCAACTAATAAAGTAAGAATTTTAAGAAAATGATAAGTATAAAACTTTTTTGTAGAATTCACAAAATGTGTCTGAAAAATGTACTGTAATACAGACTATCAGAAACTGTAAAATACATTAATTTCATTCCTTTTAACTTACCAAATTTTTTGTTGCTAAAAAAGTTATTTCCTAAGCATCTTCTTGACTTTTCCTAACACAACGTGCGACTTTCCTTTTGAATTCTGTGTAATTTTCTCGCCATTCTTTCTGTAAAGTTAAGAGAAAAAAACTGCAAATTTTTTTTGGCTCAAGACATCAAAACGCAAATAAAATTTAGATTCAAGATTTTTTTTTAAATTTATATTTTAAAACAGATACAACACAATTTAATTTTTAATATGCTTCAGTAAAACATGCAGATGCATGTCTATTGAATTCACAGAATTTCTAAATACAGAAGCTTATCTATAGTAATAAATAAAATGGGGGAGAAACATGGCAAAAAGGCCATTTAATTAAAATATTTATGAAAACAATATCAAAGTTTTTTTAATTATTCATTATTAAAATATCTTTTGATTTGTTAATTATGGCAAAGCATTGAATAGTTATTTGTCTAGGGAAGGATACTTAAAGAGCTTTGAGAGCCCCTACTTAGCAGAAAATCATTCTGTTTAAAGCATTAAAATTAGAACTGAAGACTTATAGAACTTTCAATAATGAATACCTGTTGTATAAATAATGCCAACTCAAATGTAAACAAAACCAAGGAGATGCTGAGTAATGGGTATGACACTGATCTTATTAAGTTGTGACATTCAATAGCTTCACTTTCATTGCAACGGACATTACATGGAAGATTTGCTCCAGTTATTCTAACCATATTGGTTAAGATAGAGTGTGATGTAGACCAATGAAGGCAAATTCCATCTCTCTTAAACTGTAAATAGACATAATTGTGTTTACCGGCCTATGTCAAATGCAAAATAAGCATTCGATTATAAAAGTCCTTGCAACGACAAGTTGTTGCAAGGACTTTAATAACAAACGATTATAAAAGTCCTTGCAACACTGTCTGGGTAGATGTGAGAGCCTACTGTATGAGGCTTTTCCTTGTGAGGGTATTTAAAAAGATAAAATTTATGCCACTGCATCAACAGCCTACAAGACTTGAAGGATGAGCTTATTAAGGAATTTAGTGCTAAATTACTAATGAAATGTATACAAAATCGTGACAAAAAATGTGTCTTTCCATTTAAAGGCCTGTATTGACACTGATAGTATGCAAGTTTCCACAATGGAAAACAGGTATTAAAGACTTTTTGTGTTATAAAATAAGCTATCAGTTTTCTTTTCATACAAAATTTGTTCAAAGTCATGGGATGTCAAACCAGGGCCATAAGTCTATCATATATTGACCATCCTGTACATAACAAAAATAACAAAATTTTCTTTTACATACATCAGTGGAAGACTGTTCTATCAAACTGTCAAGGGCAACGATCTCAAACTGGTGGCATGCAGGTCTTAAAGCAATTTTAAGAGACCTGTGAGCACATTTTAGCTGTATATTTTTTGTAAATACAGTGCGAGAAATTTGCATATGGATAATGGTATAGGAACAATAACTAAAACAGTAAATTTTATCTGGGACGAGCTCTGAATCATGAAGTTTGTTGCTTTGTTTGAAGAAGCCAAAAGTGAGTACACAGAAAGTATTTTAGTACAATGAGGTGAGGTAGTTATGTCGAGGAAATGAATTAAAACAGCTTTTTGTTTTGATAAATGAAATCAAAATTTTCCAGACCAAAAAATTAAATAAAAACCAAGAGCTCCAAGGAAAGAAACTTTTTGTGTACTCTTGTATTTAAGCTTTTAAATTGGAATTATGAGAAACGCAGCATGAATCAAAATATTTAGACATTTCCTAAATCTTAAATCCTTAAAAGTTTAATTTACTTCAATTCTGCAGCTATAGCACAGGATTGAAGTAAATTAAACTTAAAGCATCTAAAGTTTATTTATTTTTTTAATTTTTGGCATATTACTATGTTTCCCTTTATATATGTTATTTTCTCTACATATGTTGAAGACAGATTTAATAAATTAAAGAAAGAGCAATTTCATTATTTGTTCTCATGTTTTGTCACACTTCAAAAGTTTTCTCTCTAAATTTGGAAAGTTTTTGTAAAATTTGTTTATTTTTAAAATAAATTAAAATTTAATTAATTAATTCAACATAACAGAAAAGTATTAAAATACATGTCTCTTTGAAAATTCAATGTGTACTATCAATATGTTTCAACTGTAAAGTGCAATAACCAAAATAAAGTTCCTGCAGGTACCAAAATAAGATTGCAGATAAAATATAAATTTGATTTTTTTTTTTTTTTTTTTTGCTTTGTATTATTATTATAGATTATTAAATTTTTATAAATATCAGTAAGAGATTTGGTACCTAAAGAAAATGGAAAAAGAATTTAACCAAAAGCAGGAGTCTCATAGTTTTAGCCAAAGAAAAGATAAATTTCAGATATAAAAAGTGCTGATGCAAATGTTGGAAACACAATTGAATAATATTAAACTAAATTTTGAACTAAACCCTGTTCAAGTAAAATTAAATTATAAAATGTAATTAAGCACATTATAAACTTACACACAGTACACTATACATGCACATTATATGTAACATCAGGTTATAAAGAGGTATATTTATATTAGGAGTACATACGATGTAATATATATATATACGTATATAGAAAAAAATAGTAAAAAATTTAGAACCCAAATCACAAAGACATGAAAGAAATGAAATTTAGTAAAATACAGCAAAGTTTAAAAAAGAAAACTTTAATGTTTTATCTTTGTGTTGGTTAGTTCTACACTCAAAAGTTTTTCTTTTATTAGATAAAGCACTAAAAGCTGCTGGCTCGATAATACAATATCACAATTTTTTTTAAAAACAATTCCACACAATATACTGCTGAAAAATGAATCAATTATAAATAAAATAGTAAGGAATTTAGAACCAAAACCACAAAGACATGAAAGAAATTAAAATTTAAAATTTATCTATAACTGATTCTTTTTTCAGCAGCATATTGAATGTAAATAATATTGGGATATTTTTGTTTATATATATAGCATAAAAAAATTACACATATATTTTACATACATATACACAACACACATTAACTTAATTGAAAATAGCCCTTTAAATTTCTAATTTCAATACAACCCCTTTTACAGCATAATCACCTTATTTAATGTCACTCTTTCCCTGCACTATTCTACACTCTGAAAACCCTTGTTCATTCGCTGCTGAAGTTTTAAACTAAGAATTTCCAAATTATGAATATTCCACCTGTGTAATACATATCACTTTCTTACCTGCTGTCGCTTAGCTACCATTCTGTAGTTTTCATCTCTTGTTCTAAAATGTAACAGCATATGTAAAACTGTGGGATGCTGTTGTATCAATCAAGAAAAAATTTGTTTAAAAAGAATTGCTGCTGTTCAGAAATAAAATAGATAATTAATCTTCCTGACAGCTATAGTTAATTGCTAATATATACATTATAATGCCATTACCATTCCACTCATGACTACTTAATTAATTGATGTGTTCTTAATAAGTTCTCTCACTGTTCCATCTAAAATATTACATATATAAATTCACTCTCATTTCATTTAAGAGGAAAAAAAAAAAAACCTAAGGAATATCAGTTGCTTTTGGATTTTGCATATTTGGCCAGCATGCAGTTTGAGTTTGAGACCACTGCTCTAGAGGATTTTCAGATTAATTTTTGTTGCAATAATTATTAATTACTGTTATTTCTTATTTTAGTTTCACATATTTTATGTCATTTAAGAAAGCAACATTAATCAGAGGAAAAAAAAATTACCAACAGAACTAAGGAAGGAAAATTTTATCTGGGAAGCAGTTTAGTATCAAGCCAAAAGAAAATCCCAATAAGGGGTAGAAGCCAAAATGCACCAACTATAACACCAAAAATACATGATATGCATTTAATGAAAATGTACCAAAAATAAGCTACTAAATTAAAATGCACCGACATGGTTAAAAAAATGCAGGCATGACTTTAATGGAGGGGGAGATTATATTTCATGGGTTCCATAAGATGAAAAAAATCCAAAGACTTACTGACATAAAAGTTAAAAAAATTAGAAAATTAAGTTTTTAAAATCCACATAATAAAATGAAAAGAATTTTAAATTAAGACATTATAACATTCTGTTAGTTTTTACAAATTTATAGTAAGTATATATACTCACAGCAGCATCTACATTTGCAGGAGACTCATCATTAGGATCAGCTAACATAGATATCACTGAAATTAGAATTGTTTCCACAGTATGCACTGGCAACCACCGTTCTGATGCCTTTTCATACCCAAATTTGTCATCACCTGGTTCGTGCAGGATAGATATGCAGACATCTCCTGTTTTATCAACTATAAAAAAGTATATTGAAAACTGATCAGAAATAAAACTTTAGTTATACAAATTAAAGTACTTAAGTATTATCAGAACCATTTTAGCCAAACTTTGGCAATCATGTGCATAACCATTCTTTAGGTAACCATGCTCATAACAATTCTTTAGTCAAGGTACATTGACATTTTCGTCAGGAGTCTTTACAAGGTATTCAAAATTACAACAATTTTGATAAGACAAATCAGGATATTTTTGCTTAAACATAATTTTAAAATATGCACTCATAGAATTTGCCAGCAATGGAAGAAACCAAAGTAATATTTCTGCAGATGTACAGTAATTTTCCACAAATCGATAAAATGCGAGATATGTTTGTCGATAGCAGATGTGCAGGGCTGGCACTGTGAAATTCTCTGACCCCCTCCTTTTTGGGGAAAAAAAAAAAGATTAACGTGCACAAGGGGGGGAACTCTGAAAAAATTTCAAAAGGATTTCTTGAAACATGTTTTATTTTTAATGTGTCACATAAGCCTTGTTTTATCATTAAAATTTGTATTTTAAATTGCTGTAGAGTGTTTTCTTTTGATATGTTTACTCATTTATAATAAAAAGTAAATTTTACCTTTTCATCTATAAAATATTGCCAAACTGACAAAATGGTTACATTAATACACAAGTATCAAAATATTTTAAAATGGATGCATATTTCAAAAATTGCTAAATAAGTGGGGAATTTCTGATAATTTTTTAAAAAATAAGTTAAACATTTATTTAAAAAAAAAAAAAAATTGCTCAATACCTACACATTCAGCTTTTTTGGATGCAATATATATCAATTTATCATTCACATATGTTAAGTTAAATTACACCTTTCACAAGACACTTGTTAAAACTACAGTCCCGAAATCCTTTAAAAATTATCAATTGTTTTATCAAAACCTATGTCTCCACATCAGTAGACTTATGAATATTAGGAAGTAATATCCAAATAAACCAAAATAAGACTTCGCAGACTATAAAATTTAACTGATACCTATTTATTAATGTACGCAATAGTGTTCCAAAAACAAATGAAAAACCTATGCAAAATGGAAAGTTTATAGTCAAAGAATAAAAAATTAATTTTTTTTATTAAATGGTGTAGTCAAACACAAAATTGCTTATTTACAGTTAATACTTCAAGTATACAAAGAGAACTAAAAAGGATTAATATAAATTTATTTTTAAAACATCTGCTTTCTGGACATAACTTTCTGCCATTAAGCAATTCCTCAACAGTCCTCAAGCTACTACAGTACAAAGACCGAAATCCGGATGTCCATTATCTGGAATGATATAAAATCCGGACCTCAAAACAACTAACGTTTTCTCGTAGGCTTTACACATGCGCATTTGATTCCCCCCTCCACCCATAATAAAACATCTTAATCTCACTTCAGAGACCAGATTCTTAATCTCACTTCAACACTGAATAAAGCACAAAATTGTACGATCAATAATTTGGCTCCGTTGCTGCTGCGTACCTGCTTGGCCCACATCTCAAACCGAAACATTCCACATACATACATCGATTTGATGCCAACCTGAGGAATCATTATTTATTATACTTTCATCACCGCATGTTTATCAAAACCGCATGTTTATCAAAACATGACAACTTGAGTAATGACTCATGATATTCCGTCTTAAAGATTTAGGCTCTACAGGGTTCGTATACATTTTTGCACACAGAAATTAAGTACTTTTAAGGACCATTAATGAAAAAAATTAAGGACCAATGAGCAAATGGGAACTGAATAAATTCAATTGAAGATATTATCGATGCCTGAATTTTACTTTTGTAATACCATCGAAAAATAAAATAGATCCCTATGTAGTACGCATTATTACTAAACACGAATTAATTAACACAATTGTTAATAAGTTTGAGAATAAAATAAACTAAGCAATTTATCAAGTAGCATTAAATATTTTACACTTATGATAGTTGGTCATATTTGAATGCTTATATCGATTTCCTTCTCTTTTAAGCATCTTTTCTAACAATTAGAGATTTGTCTCAACGCGCAAACCGATGCTCTCACTAGTTTCTGCGTGCTTCATCTCTTATCTTGTCAACCTCTCCATAATGTACCTATGAGGTTTTAATTGATCTGGTAAAAGTTAAATAGTCCAAACCCCACGACAGACGTGAAGCATATTATCGCTATGTCTGAAAGTAACTACAATATCAGACAAAGGTTTAAATAAGCCTCTTATTTAAAAGAACTTAGAACATAAAGGCATGTTCTGATGCTAACAAAATCAATTACAGCACACGGTGACATAATTAAACAAGAACAGTCAAATTCAAACTAATAATGTGGACTAGTAGTCAAAGACATAAATATTTTTGAAAAAGCATTTATTAATGCAGTTAGACATTACAAATGAATAAAAAATAAATATTTCATAGGTTTTTTTAACAGAAAATCCTCCTGCAGTTTTCTCTTTTTATAAATTATAATCAGTAACGAATTTTTTCAATTACACCTAAATGTTTTTTCACAACCTGCAATTGGCAACCTTTTTTTTTTTTTTTTTTTTCTTTAATTCTACATGAATAAAATTACTAAAGACACATACAAACTAGTGATAAGTTGTATTTTATAACAGCTCACTAAATATCACTGTTAGAAATAATATACAAACCAGAAATGACAATTTACAGTGACAGTAGGCATTTAACAATAGAAAGAGCAACTATTTGAGAGCTTCAGCCATTTTTGGAATGGACAATTTCAAGAATAAAGCTTTACCAAAGCATTTCCCTGGAAAGCCCTTGAGATTGCAAATTGTGTTTGACTGAAGCAAATACATTACTTGCCTCGTATCACGTCAATAGCCGTTCTAGGAAAAAAACCCAAAGGAAAAAAGCCCACAGGAATAATGCTCACAGGTATAAATGTTAACAGGAAAAAAGCTCACACAGAAATATACCCACATAGAAAAACACTCACATTGAAAAATGCTCACTTAGAAATATGCTCACACAGAGAAATGGAAATAAGCCCACTGATAAATAAAATACGTAGAAATATCCTTACATTTAGCAATCAATAATTAATCGATTTGAACATCGTACACCTACTTGAATTTTTCTTTAAAAAGTTATTGGACAAATGCTCATATTAACCTTTTAATGGGCGGTATATAAAAAGAATGAAAACCATAGTAAAATTTTGCATGTAATGTAATATTTTATACCACTGCCCCCTGTACGACAGCTTTTTTCCCCTTGTAATTGCCAATAGTTTATTTTTGTTTTTTATTTACTCTATTTTTGCGTACTTTTGATGTGTATGTATAGAAATTGATGTTTGAATATAGTTATTTAAGTTTGGAGCCAAAAAAGTTCTAGAAGACCACAGTTTCCAATTGAAGTGTGGAATCATTATGAAGCAGCCTTGGAACAACAAATTATTACGAAAGCTAACAAATTGTTACGAAACAACAAATTATTACGAAAGCTTTCATAAGGTACTAAATTCATTATTTAATTGTATCCATCCTAGTATAAGGTTTTTGTTTGACGGACTGAAAAAAGATTTAGCCTGTCAACGTTTATTACTAGCTATTGTAAATGCTGGACGTGCTGAAGTAATAATAATAAAAAAAGAAAATATGAAACCTTACATTTGGTAATCGCGAATAATGTAAGAAACTATGATGAAACAGATGATAAAATTAGATATTTACATATATTAGCTAATATTAAGTTTGTAGAGACATTAGGTATTTTGGAAGCAGGAGATGGGAAAAATGAGCAACGCCTTTGCCGGGAATTGAACCACGGACCTCTGGAATACGAGCTCAGCTTGCAGACCACCACACTACGAAGGCATGCTAGGAAGGTGGGAGAAATACCTTATATACTCCCCCCTTTTAAAGGGCGACTGGGATTTTTAAAGGATCCAATCGCCAAATCCTGGGTCTGGAGAATCATCATCCACCATCCTTTTAGTTTGGCGGCCACTGTAGAGACATTAGGTATTTTGGAAGCAGGAGATATGAAAAATGAGCCTTTGAAGTCTTTGAAGGAAATCGAACCACAGACCTCTCGAAATCGCTTTGAGAGTGCTGACCATTATACCATGAAGGAGCACTAAGAAGGCGGGAGAAATAAATTATATACTCCTCCTTTTAAAGGGCGAATGGGTTTTTAGGGGACCTAGTCGCTAAACCCTCGTGATGAAGAATCATTATTCACCTCCTTTTAGTTCGGGCGCACTGTAGAGACTATTAGGTTATTTCGAAACAGAAGATGTGAAAAATGAACAATGCTTTCGCTGGGACTCGAACCACGGACTTCTCAAATTCGCGTCGAGTGTGCTAACTATTACACCATGAAGGCGGGAGAAATACCTTATAATGTAACCATAAGCACAAAAACGTGTTTTTCTGATTTTGTACTCATAATCGTTTTATAAATGTTTATATTATCAAATGTGTAATCTTATAATTACAATTATTTTATTTTTTTTAACAATTAAAATTGTAATAATTTTTCGCTGTATATTCTGTTTCATTTTCCTTCCTTCCTCCTCCCTTTCTCCTGGTTCAAAACGGCCCATTTGTTAATCTTATATAGCAACTAAATCTACACATGAGTCATACAGTTTTTGATATATGTATGTATATATATATATATATAGATGTTTTGGTAGCTTAAATAATTTTTCTTTGAAAAATTCAACTAGGTGTACAATGTTTAAATCGATTAATTATTGATTGATTAATGTAAAGATATTTCTATGTATTTTATTTATCAGTGGGCTTATTTCCATGTCAGCAGATATCTATGTGAGCTCTTTTCCATTTCTAAGTGAGCATTTTTCCATGCGAGCTTTTTTCTATGTCGGCATATTTTTGTGTGAGCTTTTTTCCTGTGGGCATTTTTCTGATCACCGTCAACAACACATCTTGAACTCGCAAATTAAAATCGAATTCTTCTGGCATTTAATCACATATTTTAGGTATATACCATTAATAGTTAAATATTTAAAAATTAATTTTAATAAAATTAGAATAAAAAGAAATTTTGAGAGATTATCAGCATTTAAATAACTGCTAAGTCTCCAGACTCGGCATGCAAAGAACTACTTACTATTTGGATGCCATATTTCTGTAATGAATTTCATCCTAGGAGGTCGAAGAGGATATTCTTTGGGGAAGTATAAGTGAGCTTTGAAGAAACCTCCCTCGCTAAAAAAAGAAATCGAAATCCCAAATTATCCATTACTGTTTAAAAAATCTGCAATAAATTCATTAAAGCATTATAACAATTTCAATAATATTTTTTCTTTCTATATTAACTCTTTGGAACCAGGTTTAACTAAAAAGTATATTACAGCTTAAAATTTGGCTATGTCCAATATAATAGCCATGCCTTTTTTCATTTCTTCATGACTGAGACAGTAAAAGACTAACTGTCGATCTTAATGTGTACGGAGACACACTTCATCAAATGGCATTCCCGATTTTCATTGCTATTGGTCAATAAATATATCTTCTTTAGAAATGAATTCCCGCAAAAACTACTGTCACAAGGAAGCAACTTTTTGAAATATGAGAAATGAGACACCTTCCCTCTTTTCTTTAAAGAACACAAAACATTGGTTCAAAACATAAATTGCCGATTTAAAATTAGTAATGCACTAAAATAACATTAAATGTGCCTAGGTGCTCTATAGCACATTGCTTATTTAATAATATTTTTCTTAATGTGATTTCATGTTTATTAACAGTCACGTTATTCAATTTTTTATAATTAACAGCGTTACTAAACTAAGAAAGGAGCCTACACATTTATAACAGCAATTAAAAAAATCAATAATTTTACAGATTGGCAAATTTAAATTATGATCCTGATATTAATGCCATACATCTGATCTTACAGCTACAAAATAAAAGATTTTGGCTTCTAGTTTATACTGCCAACAAGGTTCAAATAATAGGCACTAAGGTTTTATTCTTCTTACTAAAAAGTATTATTATTCCTGCCATAGCCACAAGACTACTCAATCATGCTGTTTTAAGCCAAAAAGTTGTATGGTTTTGCGGAGTAATCAAACTGCATTCAACAAACAAAAATACAGAGGATGGTATAAGGTCTCGGGACAGAATAAGATGGCATCTAGAAGCCACTCACACCATAAATATACGACAATAAAGGTCAAAGCATAACAGATGAAGTACAACACCTATAATCTATATGATAATGCAACATTCTTGCACACATAAATCATATCTTTAGCACAAATGAAAATTCACAAAAGATAAGCAGATAAAGAGTTTTTGCGGGCCAAAAGCATTAAAACTAGATCACAGAAGAATGGTGCATTGTGGTTTGTATTATCGATAAATATAATTCTATTACAAATGCTAAACATTTAATACTTTCTATAAAGGAACCGACTCATATTAACATTACATAGGGAGAAAACCACAAAAACCAACCATGCAATCAGCCTGTTCACTTTGGGTTCAAATCCAGGATGAACTACCAGTATTCAGGGGTTTAGCATGTGACTTACACTGACTGAAAAATCTAAGACCTGTATAAAATTGACAATCAAGATATGGAACAAAGACCTAAAATGCCACTGTTATGTAAGCAATGAACAATAAATTTGAAATTTAAAGGATATCAAAACAAACATTCCAAATAACTTAAGTGTGAAGAACTAAAATAAAAAAATATTAACTTGAATTTAAATGTTTAGTTACTACTTTACAAAATTACAGATTTAATTTAACATTATAAAAACATTTACGTCTTTTCATGCATTTGTCGCGGCATGAGTCCGAAAATACAGGAAAATGAGATGGTCTGTGTAACATTGATGTACATTTCTCACCATTTTGCACATGTCATCCTGTATCAGGATCAAAGGTAGTCTATATTTTAATGTACTCCTAGGATTATTCCCAAGTTGTTGTATAATTTATGGTAACCTCAGTATTTTACATTGAATGTTATGGAAACCCTATTATGATGTGATTGCTGTAATTTCTACTGTCGGGAAAATATTTCTCAAGGCTTATTTATGCATAGGATGTTGATTAGTACATTGCTCATTTTGTGCTTTACACCATAAAATGCCTGCTGGTGGTACGGTTAACTTAAAGTTTCTGTACACTTTGGAATGGTTTAGGTTTGGTTTGGTTTATTTAGTTATGGCAAAGTACACTAGGGCTATCTGCCTAAGGGGAGGGATGCCTTCGTGAAGGTCTTTCTAAGAGAAACTGGCTCGTATACACGTTACATATAAGGAAAACCATGAAAACACCCATGCAGCCAACCCGTTCGCGGGATTCGAACCTCGGACCGAACTACCAGTGTTCAGCGACTTTACCACTCAGCTGCTGGTGGGCCCTACACTTTGGAATGAATGGGACAGAAAACATCGATTGACTGGTATGTAAATGAAGATTTAAATGGCTTCATTCATCTCTTGGTAAATTACAAAGAGATATTTAAGGATTTGGAAACTGGAGCTCATATCAACACTATGAAAGGTATGGGGTGTAAATAAGAAGGGATTTTTCGAAAGAAATGCCTCCGGCAGTATGAAGGATATTTTGTGAATTTATGTGGCAACAACAGTATACGGTTCAGATAATTTTAAACAGTTTTTGGATGCTGTTAAGGAATTCTGTGTGCAACACACTGAAGGCACAGAAATTTCTAAATAAGGTAAGTATATATTTCCTTTTTGTACTATGCAGATTAGAAAACATTTATTCCCCCCCTTTTTTTTGTTTGTTATTTCCTTGTTTGATTTACGGTGCAGTTTATTGAAATTATAATCCTTCTACAAGGGCTATTCAGAAAGTAAGGAACGTTTCCGTCTGACGTCGCTAGGCCCGCGCCGATCACATATATTTTGGTATCTGTGTGCTCGGCATCTCAGTCGGCATCCAGCCATCACAACGGGAACATTTCCATGCTGCCCATTTTTTCGATATTCAAATTTAAAATGTGCGCTGCAATTGAAAATCCTGCCAGTTGTGAGGTGCGGTCTGTGATATGGTTTTAGTTGGCCAAAAACCTAAGGAAATTTATCAGCTAGTGTGTGAAGTGTATGGAAACAATGAAATGAATGAAAGTTCAATCCAGATATTGTGCATTCAGTTTAAAAATGGCCGAACTAACGTTCACAATGAAGAGAAGAGTGGACCCCTAGTATTGTGACTGACGATCTTGTCGCTAAAGTTGATGAAAAGATTCATGAAAACCTTCGTTTCACAATAACGAAGCTTTTGCTTAGTTTACCACGTTTCACGGACTTTATTTTTTGAAATTCTCACACAAATAGGTTGAAATTGAAAATCACACAAAATAGGCTACCACAAATTTTGTGCAAGATGGGTGCCAAAATTGCTTACAGACCACCACAAATCTTAGTGAATGGGGGCAGCTTTGACATTTCTGGAGGCCTACGACAGACATGGTGATTTATTACTGGATCTAATTGTAACTGGTGAGGCATGGGTGAGACACGTAAATTGCGAGACAAAATTACAGTCCATGCAGTGGGGGCACACAAGTTCCCCCAAAAGACCAAGAAAATGTTTGCAAACCTTATCACCAAAGAAGATTATGGTAACTGTGTTTTGGGATAGGCAAGGTGTGCTTCTGATTGATTTTCTCGAATGCGGTGCCACAATAAACTCTGAGCGGTACTGTCAAACTTGCACAACCTTAGGAGAGCAGTTCAAAACAAGCGCAGAGGAAGGTTGACATCCAAAATTTTGTTTTTGCACGACAATGCCCGACCTCACACAGCAAATCGCACTAAAAAACTCCTTAATTCATTCAAATGGGAGGTTTTCCCTCATCCGCTCTATAGTTCCGATCTTGCACCTAGTGATTTTCACTTGTTTCCAAGAATGAAGAACTGGCTAGCAACACAGCACTTTGACAATGACAAGGAGCTGCAGGTGCACGTCACTGAGTGGCTGAGATCACAGGCAGCAGAATTCTATCATGAAGGAATTTCAAAGTTTGTTCACCACTATGTTAAGTGCCTCAATTTGTTTAATGACTACGTAGAAAAGTAGAATTTTAGTCGCTCTTTCTGATGTACATAATATTTTTTTTCTTGTACTTAGTTTCTTTTTAATTCTAAAACGTTCCTTACTTTCTGAATAACCTATGTATATTTTAATTATGCTTTATTGCATTATGTTTTGGACGCTATTTTACTTGGGAGGACATTGCATGTAAGCATAAAAGGCAGCCCCCAAAAAAATCCCCAATTTTCACCACCCTGAAATATATTCCCCCCCCAGATCAATAATACTGACTTTGTGGTTTTTTGAAACTGTTCATATCAAACAGCTAACAATCCAGGGGGAGGGAATTCCTGGACTGATATTAATTTTTCCTGCTTTGCTATTTACGGCACGATATAAATAGCCTACCACATTTGGTACTTTGACATATATTTGCTGACAACACACAAGTACCAAAATTTTTTGAATGCAAAAATATTTTTAAAATTTAAGAAGTTACAATAATCTTCTGTTATCAGGATTGAATTCAGAAATGTATGAATGTGTTCATGTACATATGTCTGTGTGTGTGCAGACACACACTTACATACAAACATGTGCATACATACCTACATTTTTTAATCCCATCCAAATAAGAGAAGAACACCGAAACCACTTCTAAATTTAACACTATCTTGTACTTACTTTGCTGAACAATATAACACAGCCATGTGGAAGAAAAATATATTATCACTCAGGCAGGACAAAACATTTCTTTTGGACCTCCAGATTTCATAATGCTAACTTTTCTGATTAAATTTTAAAATGCTTCGCAGAGTGGCAACACAAAGATTTTGTATTACTCAGTTTCTAAACTCAAGTTTCTTATATTCTCTCATTCTAAACTATGAAAGAAATAAAATTAAATTCAAAACTTGGGCTTCAAGGTATACATGTTCAGGTGGAACCACTATGCATGTTCAAAATTTGGTGGCTCTATGTGCCACCAAATTTTGTAACTGTTCCTGTGCTCTGTTGATTCTTTTACAGCTAACGAGCATTTGCGTTTATAAAAGAATGGTTACAGAAAGACAAATATATTGCAAAATGGCAACACACTTTTTTAAATTGCTGAGTTTTCTGGTTAAATTTGAAAATAAGTATCTTGTAGAGTGGCAATCCGAAGTGTTAAAATTGCTGAGTTTTAATTCTTTACTGTACACTACAATTTAAAGCTGGAATTTCAAAAAGAAAAGTTGTAGGCTGTCTGTCTCCTTTAGGCCAAAAAGAGAATTCATGTATAATTTTGTAAAGATTGCACTCACTATTTTGATTCTGGGGGGTGTCTACTCAGCCAGAGCTCTTAAAAGTGCGTCTAAGCAAACATCGCAGTGAAGCATGTAAATGAGTAGAAGCTTTTGTATTATGAATGCAAAAATACTATTATACTTGTGCAACAGATTTAGCATGATCCACAGTATGCCATGGAGAGACCTGCTACTCTACACCCCCTCCTCCCAAAAAAGACCTTAGTGACATGATTTTTTATGCAATAATGAGAAATATTTACAGTTCCCATATATATATGTACACATATGTAAGTGTAAAAAAATACGTATAAAAATATTTACAATCCCTATTTTTTAGTTTACGAAATTTTTCGAAACACATCGCACGCTTTTAGCAAAAACACAGACATATATTGCAGGCTTTGTACATGAATCTTCTTTTCCGTCCAGCTTCGCTTTCTTGCTACATAGTACACGCATCGTCTGCGCCAACCCTCCACTGGAATGTATTCAACACTGTCGTATCATTTATCAGCAGAAACCCTTACTTTAAAACTGGGAATATCTTTAAGGCTTTTCTCTTCAATGTAATTGTTTCTGACTGCTTCATGGCACAAAGGGAACACAGCGAATTTGGATGGAATTCTTTGGCTATTTTTATTTTATCTCCAGTTAGCATTTTATGTAGTATGTAGTTGTTAATTACAGCTACATCTAGAAAATGGAAGAATATGTAGTGCCACCACTTTATTTCCCTAACAGGAAAAGTGAACACAGATATTTCTTCTTGTCATCGTGTTCGGGTGTGTAAAAGCTGGCTGTGCAGTGTTCTTGTTGAGAGAACAAGTAAATCTTATTCAATGATTCTTTGTATATTTCCTGTTTAAAAATTTAAAATAAAAGAATGACTGGAATACAGCTAATGATATAACATAAATATTTCTTTTGAAGCAATCTTTTTGTATCCCCCCCCCAAATTTTTTTCCCCTGTAAATACTAGGATTTTAAATAAAGCATCACAGGAGATCATAATTGCCTTATGTGGTATACCATGTATGATTGAAAAGGTTAGAAGTAAATAAGTTAAAAGTTAGAAGTAAACCTATTTTCAGCCATTTGAAATTAAATTTAACGGCTTGAGAAGCTAGCCAAGTTGGGTTACTAAGCAACATACGGTTAAATAGACAGTTCCTCAAATTTGCACAAAATTAAAAATAAACCAAAATTCAAAATCTAGGCTTTGAGTTGCACACGTTCAGGTAGAGGAAAACGTAATTCAAAATTTGGCAGTTCTAGGTGAAACAATTTTTTTCGTATGCAAGGAACATACAACTTAGATTATCTTTCTGTAGTGGCACTTCCCAATTTCAATTCATGTTCTTCAAGTAGAATAGGCTATCCAAATCACTAACATTTCCTTTTGTTTAATAATAATATTCTATTTCCTTACTCATTTAAATGAAATTTTTCCATCAAATTACAAATTTTTACTCAATTGAATTTAAAAAAAAGGAGGGGCCTTGCACCTTTTAAGGGAAACATATATTAATTACAGAAAAATAACATAAAAAAGATTCAATAGCTCCTACTATGTATTCAGCGTTTCATATAAATTAGTATCCTGAATAATCAGAGTACACATATACAATGCCAAAAAAAAAATAAATCCTCAAAATGAAAATATACTATGAAAATACATTCATTAAGAACTGATAAAAGGATATATATTTTTTGCATCATATATTACTGAATTTTCAAATCTAATGTTTATTCACAGATAGGCAATAAATTAATACAGCTTACTAAAGTGTGTCTGGAGGTCCTATTATTAGCACTTCCCATTTGTAGATATCATTATCATCAATTAATCCTGCAGAAAAACCTTCAACAGGATTCTTCTTTAATTCTGAAAAGGAAAGCCACAATTAATTTTTTTTTCCAATTACAAACAAACTGAGACGATAATCTACATTTCTATATCATTTAAAGATCATTCTTTAAAAATTCTTAATTTATATTTTCAAGAATAGGGAAAATAAAAATTTGAAAACTCTTCTTCTATTAGCAATGGATATATTAATGAATTCCATACTAATGTAAGAAGTACCACACTTTTTACCTGCAGAAGGCTCATATTCTACAAAAACATTATATGAGTCAAATTCCATGTAATATAGTAACTGTTTCTATTTCATTTATAACCATATGTACCAAATACGACTAAAACACAGATTTATTTTTTCCTCTCCTGTATCAATGCATTAGCTATATATCAGACATGCACTTTTTACAGCCCAATAAAAGCCTTTTAGAAAAAGGTGTCATACCTTTAGCTTTAGAAATTGTCATATTAATAATCACACACATTACACATAGTAGTATACTTCATAAAATGGCTAAAATTCCTTCATTAAAAAATCTAAAACTTCCAAATTTTATATTATGCCCCAAAGGAAAATTTTTCATTTACAGATACATACAGGTTTCGAGAGCATTTGGGCTAATGCCCCTTTGGGCTGAAAATATTTAAAAACGGCATATCTTTATTATTTCCGGTAGACAAGACTCACACAATGTAGATAAAAACTAATATCTTTCGTACAGTGTGTTACCACTGCTTGCTTTGAAATCGTCGAGTTTCTTAATAAGAATTTCAGTAAAGTTTAAAAAATATGAAATAGATAATACAGTCAAAAGTCGTTAATTCGGACACCCATAATCCGGACCTCAAAGTTACAAATTTTCTGCGCATGCGTCGCACTGACGCATGACCTTTACGGCTGCGCATAATAAGTTTACGTATCACCTTTAATGTATAACAGACGGTATAAGCTAAAATTCTCTATTTCAGTTAATGTTGCAGATTGCGTTGTTCCTTAATCTTCTAATTGGATCCGGCTTATTATTTTTTGCAGACTGTTGGAGAAATTTTATAAAAGTAAGGTTGAACTTTCGACTATGTCAAAATAGAATTTCCGATGCTGGAGCTTCCAAAGGATCTACGAAGGGAAAATATGTTTCGATGTCCATCAAACAAAAAGTGGAATTGCTGCAAAAAATGGAAAAAGGCATATCCTTTGTGTCTCTAAGCATTCCAAAATCTGTTTATCAATTTCACGCTGCTCTGCGGGGGGGGGATGTCTTGCGGCGCACAATGAACTGGAAGTTGATCTGTCAGCACTATCCTTATCTTCAGGGCAGATGTTTTTATTTTATTTGGCTTATAATTCCTTACTAAATGTAGTATTTCATCTCGATGTACTCCGTCTTTGAAATGATTTAAGTCAAATTCCTCGTCATTATAATTCACTTCCGATAGTGAAGAAAGTTACACAAAGGTTATTGAAAATGAAAAAATTTCGATTGACAAATTAGTTGGTATTTTCGACACAGCAATTATAGGACTTGAGAAGCGGAACTTTGTAATTGAACGAGAAATGATGTCTATTTATAGAATCAAAGAGAAAGTATTATCACATAAAAGGAAGCAACTTACATTGAAAAAAATGTTTAATAAAGTAAGCAAATAAATATTAAGCTTTTTTTTTTTTGTAAATTTTGATACCCTTTAGACCATAATTGTTCTTTATTTCATAAATTACGGTTTCATATTTTTAATTTTATAATTTCTGCATGCCATCTTACCAGATTTAAACTGATGATCTATAATCCGGAATCGCCAAAGTCCCGACGAGTCCGGATTAACGACTTTTGACTGTATAACAAATCCGAAATTCAAGATTCCAGCTTCCAGATGCCCATATTCGAATACGTTATTCAGAATTTGATGGCTTTAAGCATCATTTTTTTCACAATGCGAGACATATTACATACATTCATGCAGATTCTTCATTATTTATTTTCTTTAAATATAATACAGGGTGATAATATTTAGTGGCAAGAATTTGAAAAGTGATACAACCATTTATAGCGATTCGATGCAAAATTCCATTTCAAGACTATTAGACCTCCTGGGCTAATGTCCGAGCTTAAAATGTGCTAATAAACATTTTATCCCACATGTAGAGGAAATTATGAAAATGGATTCTGAAATGCAATATAAAAAAAATAAATATCAGCTCAATTTTATTAATTCGAGTGGGCCTTTTCCATTACATGACAAAAGCAGCTAACACTTTTCTTTAGAAAGATATAAGCCAACTTTATACCGCAAGTAAAAAAAAAAAAAAAATGCTTCCACTGTCATATCATCTCGATTCATGTAAAAATTTTCTAAATACATTGAAACTACCACTATGTTAGATACTTTAATTGGCAAAGAATAAAATGAGACATTTTAACTTTTTATTGACATTATTTGCTTTGAAAATACAAATGTAAGAGATAAGAACAATACATTTTATTGACTAAATGGAAACAAAAAATAGCCTTGTTGCAGAAATTAATGTAATTTAATAATACCCAACAGGTAATGCTGGTGCATATACCTTTCTACAGAAAACAGTTTGATGCATAATGTCCTATAGTAGAAAAGATCCATTCAAATTCCTACTGTTACAAAGATATTCAAGGAAAGATTAAAAGGGCTGAGTTAAAAAATATACTACTGAACGGCTACATTTTTAATGTCAAAGAACAGGCATTTTCTAGAAAATCAGATACTGGCAATAAATTCAAAACTTCAGATGGCCATCTCCAGAGTTTTAAAGTATGAAATGGACTTGTGTTTAAGCCTTGATATATTACTTCCAGCAATTGTAATGCCAGAGAACAATTATTCGTAATTTTTAATGCTAATTGCAGCCTCCGGCAACATTACCCGATAATTCCTGATCAGTAGCAAACAGATGTTTCAAAATGGCAACAAGTGAGAAAGTACATTCTGCAGATGCTACAATGGGCAAGTGTTTTATCACTGACATATCTTGTTCCTTCAGTTTTGTTGACTCCTTGTTATATGAAATTTTTTGTGTACAATCATTTTAAAAATAGATGGGCAAAAACATTAGTCACTAACAAGCTCCTGCCTTTTGGTAGGAAGGCGGACAATCAGTAAATAAAAATTATTATATAATACTTAGGTATTTTTAAAATAAGAATATTTACTTTTAATACTATGAAAATATCCATACTCTATACTCAGCTCAGCAAGCTCATTAGTTCAGCCTGAAGCAGAATTTATTTTTAGTTACTGTAAATAGAGATTATTTGAAGATTACCTACGCAGTATGAAATTTCTTTATTTCTCAAATGCATGTTAAAAGTTTGATATGATTATCTAAAACTTTAATTACCACTGGTTTAGCATGTATTCCTTATTAAAATATTGACTGCCTTAAATATATGACTTGAACTGCAATTTTCCAGTTAGCAACACAAATTTAGGTTTGGCTTTGAGACAGCTACACTTAATTACACATTGTGATAATTTCTTACTATAGACGTCCTTAAAATTTAATTGCTAATCAACCAAGATGCAACATGTAGCAAATTATAAAAACACATGGCAAGATATCTCAGTTAATTAGCAATTTAATCTTGAGAGTTGCTATACAAAGGAAGCACCCAAATTGTTAAGAAAAGAAATATTAAGAACTGTTTACTTCCTGTAGAACCCTCTGACATACAAAGATAACTACTGCAAAACTGCACAGGAATATGATTATACAATGCTACTTGAATTTATTCAGCTCAAAAATAACAAATACAGAAATTCTTTTTAAAGAGAAAACAAAAGAAGTAAACTATGCTGAATTTCAAAAGTGCCTGAATAATACATTACTACTCCCATTTCTCACATAAACTTTATCTTTGCGAATTATCCGATTCCGAAATGAAATATATAAAGAACCTGTATAGAAATCTGCTTCCTTATTCTTACCTTGATGTCCCATAAAGAATACAAAGCAAATACACATTACAAAGGAGTTTCTTAAACTGAGGGTCGCGGGACCTGCTGCAGGGGGGGAACCAAAAATGTTAGCAGTTTATTCTATTTCTTTAACTTATTATAATACTTTAACAATCACCATATATTTTTACATGATGTATCTGAAAATAGACAACGACAATACAGAAAAAGAGAAAAACAATTCGATGCAGTCTTTTTATAATATAAACATTCAGTTACTTGCTTAGCAAGCGACGCTGTCATTTCGTCTGTTACTTATTTAAAATTTTCACATTGTTGTCTCTTAAAATTAGAAATTAAAGCTAATGGCCTCAAACTGCAATCATATATTACAGTACAAGTGAAAAAATTGACAGTTTCACTCACGCGTGTGTCAGATTTTCGCAATGCTTATGAGGACACACAAAATTTTTGGGGTCGGTGAAAAATGTGTGATAAAAAGGGGACGTGAATGGAAAAAGTTTAAGAAGCCCTGCACTACACCAAAAGTAATTACTTTTTAAATACATAACTGAATATATTAGGGTTTATTATTTAATAAACATTACAGATATTTTTCACATTATTATTATTATACTCTGATGTACAGTGCATTACAAAACAAAAGTTGAAACAGGTTCCTTACAATAATAAATAAGAGAACAACTACGACAAGTGTTACTACGACAGCTATAATAAATGCAGTTATCTCCTTTATTTGTAAAGTCTATTAGAAAATTTTAGAAGATATACTACCATTATATATTAAATTTTATTTATGTACATTATCTACATACACGCCTGTTCTAAATTAATGTAAACTTAACTCCAATATATTTTGAATTTCACTTACTTATGAAATTTCTAGTATTACTTATGAATTATTATTATTTCTAGTATTACTTTCTAATGTATTACTTATGATATTTCTAGCTTTAAATAAATTTAGTAAGTACCCCAGATCACCTTCCTAACATGCCAACAAGCAAAACTGAAATATTGATGAAAAAAATTACTCTATTTTTGATGAAATTCATCATTATAATCTCAGGTTA